TCAACGGACTCTTCACTGGACTACAGGACAATGGAATCGACTTTCTCCACATTGCTCAGGTCAATGGTAGGAAAGCCTTCCTAAAAAGCCCCCGGGTCCACAGGTCTCACTATCAGAAAAAGGCAGGTGTCCTTGTATCCTCTGACTTCAACAACTGTGGAGAACCTTGGGAGTGGCTGTCCATGCAGTCAGCTACTAAGTCTCTCATTCTCCAATCTCAGGTAAAATCTTTTCCTTCTCAAGAACTCTGGTGCTTTTGACGGCGGGTAGCTTTGCCAGCTTAAAGTAAAAGACAAGGCAAAGCTCTGTCATAAAACAGTTTTCAGGAACCGGTATTCTAAGGTTTATCTATATAATATGGTAATGTAATAAAGTAATTTGAGACATTAAAAATTAAAGAATATTCCAGGTTTCTCTTTCATTATACTACTTTTCATAGTCTTAACATTAATCAATAAAGTTCTTATAAGCTACTAATCTAACTTCAACAGAGTGCTAAACAACTATACCACTATATAATCATAACTACAAGCTCAAAATTAAGGTGCTTTCCTTGTGCTGAAAATATTTGTCAGTTTTAAAAATGTTAATGCTTTCAGCTAAGTTACTTCTAATGTGCTGTTAATATGTCTAATTCTTTTGTTTTCATAAACTCAAAGGATTCTTGTAAGTTCCAGAAAGCCAAATTGGACCCATCCAAACAGGTCAGATTCACTCCAGATATTCAACCTCTCCCTGATCCCGGGATTCCCTTCCCTCATCTTGGGACCTTTCCGGAACCCTTCCCTTATCTTACAATCTTCCCCTCAAATACTAGAACCTAAGAAAAAAATTTTAAACCTAACTTTGTCCTCTGCTCTGCTAACATCTTGGCAGATCTACAGAGGTGCCAGAGAGTTCCACACAGCCAGGACTGCGATGGAACAACCAATTACTCAGGATGTGTCAACACCCCAACTTTCTCAAGATTCCCCAAAGATGGTCAATGTCCCCAGGTCAGCAGGAAGCAGTCTTAAGACATCAACCTCCTTATTCCCTAACCTGCCATGTCTATCTAACACCCCCACTTCTTTTTAATCATAAATAAAGGTGGGAATGAAAGATTCAGGCATTATGCTGGCCTGCCCTGTTACCTGGCAGGATGCATTGAGGCTGCACTCTGGCCAGCCCAGAGTGCTGTGTGAACCAAGCAGGTGCAAAGGACCCCTTTAAAGGACTGACCCCTGCCTGATTACTCTCTCTTTTACTCTTTTCTTCCTCTCTCTTACCCTTGTCTCTCTCTCTTTTACTCTTCTCTTACTCTCATCATCTCATTCTCTTTTTATTTATTTTTATTTTTAAATTTAAATTTAAATTAGAAACAAGGTTGCTTCACGTATCAATTCCAGGTCCCTCTCCTTTTCCCTCCCCTCCTCCCATGCTCTCCCACCAACCCATCTCATTCTCTCTTACTCTCATCTCTCTCTCTTACTCTCGTCTCTCTCTCTTACTCTCATCTTTTTCTCTGTCTCATCCTCTCTCATCTTCTCTCTTTGTCATGTCTGTTTCCCCCCTTTTGGTCTCGCTATAATAAACTATGGTTAATATGCTCTCCATGGCTTGGGCTCCATCCATTGCGCCTATCCTTATTCCATATTTAACAACACATATATTCTAGATTTATCTGAGCCCCCAAAGTTAAGACACTAAGTCTTGAGTCAAACTTCTTGTTTGTTTTGCTTTGTTCTTCCTTGAAGATGAGCATTAATAAGCTGTCTTCTCACCTGAGACATAAAAGCCCTTTCGTTAAAATCAGAACCCTGTCCTCAAAAGTCGAAAAGTCTATTCCGAATGTGTCCTGGCTTTTGGGCGCTGTGGTGGTGTGGTGTTCTTTAATTTACATAGGGACTTGCAGCCAGCAGGCTCCTTGGTCTCAATGATTTCTCTGGAGGCATGAAAATATTTTGCTTTCTCATTTTGAACAAAAGTCATGCAAAGTCCCAAAGAAAAGGGTGCATTTAATCTCTAGGTAGAAAAACAAATCTAACAGATTTCCTATAAGTGTTTTCTATTTAACTTTTAACTATTTCATTGTATCTCCCTCTACCTGTCCCCACTATCTAGAAAAATAGCAAATGCTATTAGCACATCCTAGTGAAGAATTCAGAGGGCCGAAACAAGGTGATCAGCATTCACAGGCATGACCCCAGGAGAAGTGCACAACATCTGCCCAACCAGGCTCCAGAGCAAAGGAGCATAGGAGATGCCACACCAGGGCAGCCCACCTCAGCCTGGCAATTTCCTAATCAGGCTGGTGCTTCACCAGGAGAGGCAGCTTTGCTCCCTCTGCTGATTATTTCATGCACTGTGGTTTTGTTTGTGTTTTTGTTTTCCTATAAACTGTTAACCAGTGCATGGGGAAGGGGGATCGTTTGAAGACTTCTCAAATGGAAATTCTCTCCCAAAACAGACTTTCATTAATATATGAGACAAAAAGATGCAGAAAATCTCCAAAGACTTATGCATTGCATTCAGGGTGTCTAGATGACTATCATTTAAAAAAAAAAAACTTTCCATGAAATTTACTTTGTTGTTTTTTAAAAAAAATTAAAGCAATAAAAAATTGATATGTTTTTTATTTTACATATCAATCCCACTTCCCATTCCCTCCCTTCCTCCCACTCCCCCTACACCACCCACTATCCACTCCTTGAAGAGGGTGAGGCCTCCCATGGGGAGTCAAGAAAGGATGACTGTCTTTTTAACAATAGTTTCAAAGGACCAAAGAAGAAATGTTTTCGCTCATAATTTAGCAGATTCATTTAGAGGAAAGGCAGAAGGAGATTGGCAAATGGCACAGCTAGAAGAAAAGTCAGACATTCCATTGATACACACTAAAAATATAAAAAGTTGCCCCATATTGCCAGGGGCAACTTATCCTCTCTAAGGGTGTGTTTTCTCATGTAAAATCTTTGAATAATAACAGTAGCTGCAGCATAAAGCAAGGACTAAGGTGATGGCACCTCTAGAAACAGCATGCTCCTGACACAGGGCAAGCTTGCAATGCCAGCTAGCTGATTTTAGTAATCCCACCCACGATTCCCACCCCTTAGCCACCAGGTGAGGTGCTCTGTCATATCCATCTGTTCTGTAAAGGACTTGCTCTCCAGCCAGCCCTCCCAATCACAGTGAACTCTGTTTCCCGAGAAAATGAGCCAAAACAAATCTTCCCTCCTTTGAGCTGTTCCTGTTGGATCACAGTGACTAGAAAAGTGGTTCATATGCTGACAATTATGGCCTGATGTGAAATTACTGTGGATGGTGTAATCCCTGGCCACTGAACTATTGTCTAGGAGTCAACAACAAATTGATCTTAGGAAATAAAAATGAAACAAAACAAGCAAACAAATCTCTTTAGGGATAATGAGGTCCAAGCTATGATATAAAAAGAAGAGAAATGGTATTGTTGGGGGAAAATAAGCCTGTATCCTAATGGATTGCTACTGGGGGGACATACAACAAAGTGTATGTGTGCAGAAAGAGTAGCTGAAACATGAGTCTGGTCACTGAAAGGGTGGCTTTCTTATTACAGGATCCTGGAGATCTCTTAAGAAAATCACAATGAATTCATAGCTCTATCTTTAAGGGGATGAACCAGAAGAATAACATATTACACAAACTTAGAAACACTTCTCAAGATGTGTATGAAAGATGCACAGACTTAGAAATACTTCTCAAGGAGTATATGGAGGATGGAACACTTTGAGCTAATGAAGAAACTAGCTAGGGAGGCCTAAAGATCAGTAATATTGGAGAATAATTTGCTTCGCATTGTACAGGGTCAGTTGGAATAGATGAACAAAAAAATTAATTGAGGAATGATTGAAACTAGCATGTATGGAAATCTACTAGAAACAGTTGCTTTAAGAGGTAAAGAATGAAGCACACATGGGATCTGTCCTGTGTTTCTAGTCTGGTTGAACATTTATCCTACCAGTGAAATGTGAGATATAGGACATAGTGAAGATTTAGAGGAAAATTTGCGATATGCATTTATTTCGCCTGTACACATATATTGGAATATATAGATATATACAATGGACACAGATATTTGGATAGATAGATCTAGAATCCAAGAAAGTAACAAGCCTTGGCAAAAGAACTAATGTTAAAAATTTCTGTCAGTACTCAGAAGACAGAGGCAGGTGGATCTTCATGAATTTGAGGCCAACCTGGTCTATATAGTGAGTTTCAGGTAACTCAGGGCTACATAGTGAGACCATATCTGAAATAGAAATTTCTAACTAGGGATACAATATCAATTGCCTGTGGAAGTGATATCAGTCATCACTGAGTGAATGGAATGAAGGCAAATGGATTTGGAAAATTCTAGAACTTAAAAACTGTCAGAGACTCTGGATCCAATCACTGTATTGTCTCAGTAAGGAGCTCATTAACTTAAAGGCATTCAGTCAGTGAACAGCAGGGCTGGTACTAGCATTAAAATCAGACTTCTGGCTCAAAATTGAGCCTTGCTGGCTTTGAGGTATGAGTGCTCCAGCCTCCTAGCAATTTCTTTCTTTCTCTTTTCTTTTCTTTTTTTCCTTTTTTTTTTTTTTGTAGAATGTAAGTCACCTTGTTTTCATTTTAAGAACTCCCTTCAAAAGAATATGACAAAATGCAGTATAGCAGTCATCTGAATCAGTCTGTCTGGACATGTCCTCATCAGAGTAGGATCATCGATAGTCTCTCTCCTTTCTTCCCAACAGAATTCAGTCAAAAAGATTATCCTCCCCAGATTGACAACTAACAGGTACACAAAAAGAGAACCCAACCAAAACAGTTGAATAGTTGCCTTCTTAAAGCCAAAGAGATGGATTGCCCATCCTGTAAAATTCCACTTCAGGTTTAGTGCAATTCCAGCTCAAGCAAGACACAAGAACTGTAACTGGTAATCATAACTCCCATTTTTCACAGACATAGTAACATGTGACCCCCTCAATATTGCTGATCCATCTTACCTTCTTCACCCATTGGACACTTGCTGCCAATTCCTATAACATACTCCACCCATCTGATTGGTCAATCAACAGACAACAACTGAAATGAGTGTCTTCACAGGGCCAGAAATCCAAAAGCACAATGATTCCTGAAAGAAAAATATAAAGAAGCATCATTAGTAATATAGATGCCATAGAAATTACTATAGTGACCCACTGCTTTATATTGCTTTATATTGGATATAGACTGTTGCATAAGACAGACTTTTCTCTTCAAAGACAATGACCTAGGCATACAAAGAAAATATAAATATGCTATTGCAATTGGATGAAAAACTGGGGAAACTTGTGGATTTAGAATTACCAGGGTAGTGTGATTAACCACATTTGTGTTTAGTACTTTGAAAACAAAGATAAAGCTGGGGGACTATCCAAGTGCTTGTGCTGTGAATGACACATCCACTTTGAAGACAGAGTTTCTTTCCAGCCAGGTCCTGCAGCCCTTTAGGCCCAAATAAATACAGAGAGGCTTACATTAATTATAAACTGTTTGTCTGATGCCTTGGGCTTCTTATTGGCTAGCTCTCTCTTAATTACTAACTTATTTCTTTTAAACTAAGTATTGTCACAAGGCTGTGGCTTACCCCTAATGCTCCAGTATGTTACTCATTTGGTAGCTACATGGCATCTCCTTCACAGCTCCTCTCTGCCTTCCTCTTTCCAGCATTCTCCTAGTTTGGTAGCCCCACCTATACTTCCTGCTTGGCTACTGGCCAATCAGCATTTATTCATCAACCAATAAGAGAAGTATATATTTACAGCATACAGAGGACATCCCCCATCATCACTTGCAAAAACACCTGCATGGTATATGAAAAGCATTCAGAGACAATTTTCTAGTTATTATACACTCTGATTCAAAGCCATGAATTCCCTCACAAAGTGAGAAGCAGAGCTTTCTGGAACTGAAAGGTTCTCATGGGATGATCTACTCAAGCACAACGAAGGAGAGTGGTAAAAGATCAGAGGACAGGAGTGGGCATGCTTGTCAGTCTCCATCAGTCTTGCATTTCTCCTTCACTACTACAAAATCTGGATTTTCTGTGTGGGAGGAGCTGTGTCCTGCTTAGATTTTGGTCTGATTGAACTTTATATCTACTGAAGTGTTTAACATGTTTCCTATCCCAGAGCAGCTGTTCATATATATTAGTTGAATGAATGCAGAAAGTATATGGAGTGTCTAAACAGCTGTTATCTTTGAAAACTGAGGCACTGAACTCAAGAAGCTGCTGACTGCTAAAGCATACTTAAGACTGCAGCCTACAGATGCTCTTGTCTATCCTCCTTCTATGACCAGCTCGGCTTGCAAGGGAACCTTAATCAAAATCTTCATTAACTATTTATTGTGCTATGCTTATTTCAAAATCTGCTTTTCCTTTCTCTATATAATGGATCCTTAATACAACACATTCAAACAAAATAAAACAGACAAAACAAAAATCATCTAAAATGTGCCGCTGGACAGGAGAGCCCTGGGCTTATCCTGAAACACATGTAGGCATTCATATAACATGGAGTTGTTGTAGCCAGGCAGCAAATATAGTACCACCAATAAATCACATGTTTAGCTCTCAAGACCTGGATCTCAACCAGACCCGCAAAAGCAATTACATAACATTAAGGGAACCTCAGGGGAGGTGACTTTGGTACAATGGATCTGAAAAAATAGAACTTTCAAATTGAAGCCGATTTTTCTTGAGCCTTCATAACTATTGTTTCTCCCTCTTAGGTTTACACTTGCTTGGGACCCATAACTCTTTCTTCCTTACTTGCTTCATCTTGGAATGAAAAATTTATTCACTTTATGCCTCCCAAAAAACCATAACACGGAAGCACATAATGTATTTGGGTCTACAAATTATAGCTATATGGGATTTGGCTTCAAGATGAATTATAATTTGATTCTTCGATGTTTGATATAGAAAAAATTTAGAGGAGAAGTGGAACTTTAAAACTACTGTTACCCTACCTCCTGCCATCACTTAGGGTTCAGGGAACCCTAAAGAAAATAAGGTAGAAAGATTGTGTTAGCCAGAGGGCATGAGGATGCCAAGGAAAAAAGGCCTTCTAAATACAGTAGGACCCACACACATATGAACTTACAGAGACTGTGACATCATGAATAGAACTGATAAGTCTTGGATAGATGGGATTCCAAACCTCAAAGAGGAAGTGGGCAAGAGTCCCCATCTTCAACTATCTTCAGCTGATAACTACTCATAAATGAAATATTAGTTTTCTCTATGGATTCTCATTCAGCTTTACGAAGGCAAGTATGCAACTGTTTTGATTGGGTTCTTTTTATTGTGTATCTGTTAGATGCCAATCTGGTCAGGACAATCTTTTTCAATATAGGATTATACAAGAGTTGTCCGAGAACTAGCTCTATGGACCAGGCTGGCCTTGAACTCACAAAGATCTGCCTGCCTCTGTCTCCTGAGAGCTGGGGTTAAAGGTATGAGCTACCACTGACCTCCCTCAAAAACCGTTCTTAAGCCTAGTAGTTGATGACTAAGAAAAAAGGAACTTTCTCATAAAACTATAGCAGGGCCTTTGCTATTGTTGTTTTACCTCACATGCCTTTTGAGTATTTATTGGGGCTTCTACTTTTGAGATTTCATGAGAACATATTTGTGTTTTTGTGTTTCTGTTTTTGTATGTGTTTCTTGGCCTTTGGGCACTTTTTTTGTGTTTTTGTTTGTTTTTTTCCTATTCTGGTTCATTTGGTTTTATTTTATCTTTTTTTTAAATGCCATTATGTATTCTGATGAGAAATAATAAAGGGGGGGGTGGATTTGGGTGGGTGGGGAAATAGGTAGGATCTGGGAGAATTTGCCGAAGGGATGATAATTAGAATATATTATATAAAATAAAATATATTTTCAATAAAAATAAGTATAAAATTAGTTTTAAAACAAGTCAGATTAGGAAGCTGATCAAATGGATTGATTATATTTTGCATGTAAAAAGGGCATTAATTGGAGGACAGGATAAAATCTGGTAGGTTGAAAGTATGTGACCTCCTCAAATCAATATAATAGCTGGGGCTATCTTTGTGAGATACTTAGGTAGAAAAATGGCTCCCTTGGTTAGAATCATATCCATGTTCTCTCTCTCTCTCTCTCCCTCTCTTTTGACTGCTCCAGGAAAAGTAGCTTAAATATCTACCTCACAGTCTAGAGACTTAAGAAGTTCAAGATGAAACTACTAGTAAATTTGGTTCCAGAGATGACCTTTCATGACCTTCAGATAGTCATCTTTTCACTTTTTGCTCACATAACAGAAATACAGACACAGAAGGCAGAAAAGGAGATAGATGGATTGATAGATAGATAGGTAGGTAGATAGGTAGGTAGATGACTGGAGAGAGAAAGAGAGAGAGAGAGAGAGAGAGAGAGAGAGAGAGAGAGAGAGAGAGAGAGAGAGAGAGAGAGAGAGAGAGAGAGATTTCCCCAGGCCCATGTGAACAAGTTAATTTTTATTTTCAACCTTTTCAAATCTACATAACTTTACTTATCCAATTGCATGACCTGAGATACTCCAAGTAACCTAGTATCTACATGTGTTCACACAACTCTCAACACTGTAGCAGGTAAATATGAATTGTTATCCATCAATATATTTCTGAATAGGATGTTAATGAGCAGTAGATTACTAAAATGTTATAAACAGTATCAAAAAGGCGTTTTCCAAAATTACCTACAATACATTCTCTTGTATTTGAGATACCACTGTTATTATCACCCTGCCCCGCTCAGTGGATTAAAACTATTGCAGTAGGCCACAGCCAAGAACAAGAGAGGTATGGTCAGAATCTACCAGACAAATGTCCTAACTCTTTTACTTCTGTCTTCCTTCTCTGGAATAATAATGCTATGGTATGGTCTGTGGCTACCACTATCTGTGAAACTGCAATTAAATCTACTGAAAGCACTTTGGAGCATTCACTTTGACTGACTTCTTCCCCGTGCAGGTTTTTCCATATGAAAGGCCTTTCATCCAAAGATTACAGAGAAGTTTTGGAAGAAACAAACAATCAAAAAGATGGCACATTATCTAAGCATTTAGAATTCTGTTAACTGTAAAACTTTGCTAATGAGGAGCTTTGAGCTCTAGGGAAAGGGCTGTGTTCTAGCTATGTCATATTAAATATGAACACTCGAAACGGTTATTTGAGCTTTTAGCAATGTGTCTGGGTCTCAGCCGCCTGTGAGGGTTTTCTCTACAGCTTTGCCTTCTGCAAAAGCATTCATATTAAAACACCCATTTTCTGTCCTTTGGCAGACATCCCATGTCTCCCTGACCTGGAATCATGTGTTGCCTTCTGTTCTCCTGAAACCACCCTTGCCTCATTCATACCCTACTTGCTCTAAGATGTTCCTCTTTCATGTATCAATTCTAGGGGTCACTCGTGTCCCCTGCCAGTGCAGCTACACAGTGCAGCCCATTTCATTGCTGCGCATGGCCACCAACCCATAGGACTAAAACTCTTAGGAACATAGGCATTAAATGGCATGTATGATTTAAGAGACAAAGAAATCAGGAGCAAGAACACCTGAAGGCTACAGGCTTGAAGTGTGAAGGAAAAAGCAGTATGCATACATATCAAAGTCAGACCACTCAACAAAAATAGATGTGTAGGCCTGTGATTCCTACACTCAGGAATCTGGGGAGAAAAAGGTAAAGGCAGAAACCTTGACCTCAACATGATTTCTGGTCTCAAAAAATAATGGATGGATGGATGGATGGATGGATGGATGGATGAATAAAGTAATAATAGCTTAAGAAGTAACCCAATGTGAAGGTTTGGCTTACACGCATTCATGTCTTTTTCTTTCCTTTCCAGATCTCTAAAACTAATGACTTGGCTTATAGATAACCATGTGTGGATACTCTTCTACTTTATCTTTATGTTTTTAAATATATGTGTGTGAGTGTGTATGCATTTGTATGTCTATGTGTGGGTTGGCTGTGAGGCAGTGCCTGCATAGACTGGTAAAGTACATTACATCCCTTGGAACTGGACTTACAGAAGGTTCCAATCCTTCTGCCATGGGCTATAGGAGATGAACACCTGACTTCTATAAAT